ATCAGCAGATCAGGCATCGGAGTGTGTGTGTGCAGTGTGTAGTCGCTACAATTAGTCTTTTCCCGTTTTCTTTTGCATCGCATAGAATGACACAAGCCACATGAAAGGAAATCATATGTATTCTGCATGCTCCAGCTACGCAAACCCTCTTCAGCGAACAGATTATTAACGACCATGTTTTCTTTTTGAGCGCGTTTCGCCTTTTTTAGAATAAATAAACACACTCCTCTTTTGCATGCACATATTACCATTTGTTTTTAAAATTTTCCACAATTAAGAAAAAAAAAAAAAGAAAAACGACTTATCCACGGGCGTGACACGCGTGCATGCTTTAATGTAGAGTAAATGAAAGGATGATAGGGGGAGATGTAGAAAATCGTTTGCCTTTTGCATTTTATTCACCGCCACCTTAGGAAGGAGGGCTAATGTATGATCGAAGTCAGCGCAGCTAATCACCGTGGCCGAGGTTACTTGCTCTTGGCGTAAGATTTTTGTTGTTTAGTGTGTTCGTTACCCCAAACGAAGTTGTCCAGCGTCTCGCCAAGGTAGTACAACATCATGCTGAACAACATCATTGATGCGAAAAACGCGACTCGCAGCGGCAACGATAGCACGTCGATCACAGGGTACACCCAGATGCCGCTTTTATAGTAGATTACGTGTATCCTGGAATGTTTATTAAATTACAATTAAAATTGAAACTGAATCGAACGGATTGTAACTTGTTGGTTGAGAATAGTGTACAGTGACAGGTTTAAATATGTACAGTTGGTGAAATCGATATAGTAAAGTCGTACACAATCAGTTAAGTGCCTAGGTATCGTTGGTGGAAAAAATATAGCGAGGTCGTGTGTTAAAGCATTATAATTTTATAACGACTGTTTAAGTTTCCTTCACATTCAGTAAGTCTCCTAATACTTGTAAAAGCGAGTGTATATAATTCTTCAGCACAGTGCACATATTTAAACCAGACTTTCTGCAGCTCCATGAATTTTTTCGATATTCTCAACTTACCAAACCAAGTATGTTATCATGAAGAGACTTAGACCAAGGAGACTCTTTGATCTCTTTGGATATTTTCTCGGTGCTAAGATTGTTTCTATTACAATGGAAACCATAATCATCGTGTGCATTAGATGGTTCAACCACCATGGAAAGTAGGCGTCTAGAACCTTTGGAAACACTAGTTCGCGATCCACGAACATGAGAGCCCAGAACGTTACTCCAACGAACTGTAATATGACCAAGCGGTAAATAAATCTGTGCCAGACTTCGAAGTATCGTATTTTTAAATTCTTTTTTACGCTTACCATGGCGATTGGGAAACTGAAGACCGCATGTATGTAATCCTTTAGCTTGCGTATAAACGGCGGTTTCTTGGGATTGACGGCATTTGTGCCGAACCAATCGTTCAGCATGCATATGAAGAAAAATATAGCTTGAATGATCTGAAATAATGGAACAAATTAAACACTTAACCTCTCGTTTAATTCATTTTTGTGTTTTGCTTAATGTTGAAGCTGCAGTACAACACTATAGAATATTATGATACGTTTTCAAGTATTTCTCTTGACTATTTTTATTTATAAAGTATTTTTTTCTTTCAATTAAAAAATATAAAAAAATTGGTTATTTAAAATCTCATTACTTAAAAAAAAAAAAATGAATGAATGGTAGTTTCGCATGAATGAATATTGTGTCTCGTACACGGTTGCTACATTGTAAAATATACCTATCATTATTACTACATCATTGATACGTCCATTATATAAGTGTGTACACTTTTTATACATTTCATTTCATTCATAGTTTATGATTGAACTCGTACATATACCACTTCCATTGCGAAATTCAAATGATAGGTTCATTTTTAAGTGTTTCTTTCCTACACACTTAACTATCGTGTTGGTACCCCAATTAAGTGAGCTCATGTGAATGCGGTCAGTTGTTTCGCGTTAGTGTGTCACGTGACCATCGATCAAACGAGCACTCGATCGTACTTGTCACATGCAATCACCTTTATCGAGCACTCTTCGAATGAAAGAAGAATTTCACGTGTGCCCATATTTTGACATATTTGAACAATAAATCGAAACCAACAAACTGCAGACAACAATTAAAAGCCATTCTGTTCGCGTGAGAACGCTGCAAATCGCGTAATGTCAGTCACTTGATCATGTATAGGTAACATGACATGACACGTGCCATAGTTCCGAGATGATATGGAGTGGCGCTTGAACAATTGAGCTTTACTCGTCCCATAAGCCTTATAATTCGCACTACATATATGTATACCGACCGGTGAAATGACCATAAAGTATAAAATCGTTGTGTGGCAGAAAAAGATCGTGGGAAAGATAAAACTGTCAAAAGTTTCCAAAAAGACAACTGTGCAATTTACTACCACTCTAACTGTCCCCATTTTCACGAACACAAATACGATACAGTACGTATTCTTATAACTGTTTTCACTATTGCGTAATATCGTAATAAGGACGTGGTGCAATCACTTGTTAGAACCATCGTACGGTTCGTGCACGAAAATAGGAGTTTTGTGATACTTTAATGCCTTTTTCTCGGTATCGCGATTAGCCAACCGTTCAAATACCAAATTTCATGCACGCTTGGTTAAAAATAAATATCGTAATTACCCAATAATTATGTGCGTGCGTGTATAATCCTACCGATAATGGTTTTTAATCAGTACTGCGACGAAATTTACGTATAAATATACTGCAAAATGGTAAATATTCTTTTGAAAATATTTAATAATTATCAGTGACTACTAGGATATCTCAGTTTCATCTGTCAGATTGGATTAGACATGCATTTTCACAAGGCCGTAAGTGGTTGCATAATACCAGTCAGGAGAATAACCCAATTGCGTATGAGAAAAAAAAAGTATCGGGCCAGGTCAACGTGACACAATACTAACCGCGTCCCAGAACGTGAGATACTTGAATTTCCCGCCGTAGGCGCCGTGCGTTTTCAGCACGTTCGAAGGAATGTTGACGTGGGTATAATCATAATACACCGAGAACGCGAACTGCACGCAAGAGATCACGTGGAATCCGATGAGTAGGCCGTCCCGCATCTCATAGATGTTTCACACGCAGTTTTTTGTATTCTGAAAATGATTCGACAGGTTTCCATGATGATCGTGTTCTGTCGATCATACAGAAACGATTTGAAGAAAGAACACATTTATTTCTACTATGTGTTTGCCCTTTGAATATAAACTTTCTGCGGGAAATTGCTAAAGAATATTTAATTTAAAAAATATAAATTTATGGATCCCTTGTTTACACGATGACAGAACCATAAATCTGCATACGTGTTACATCTATCGTGCATTATGGAATATTTATATTTCATTTATGAAACTATTATACAATTTATGCAACAGTATGTATATTTTTTCTTAATCACATTAAGATTTCAACGGAACAGCATAGTTCAAAAAATTTTTTTTTTAATGTATACATACATATATTCTTTTTTCATATGGGAAGTTGTAACAAAAAAATTTAAGAAGTACAGAGAATGACTCTCATATCGTGTTTACAGGTTGCGTAAGAAAGTTTACTCTCGAATTACGTAAATTGCATGTAAGAAAGTTGTATTACAGGAGTGTGCAATACTCTACTGAATTATTTACTTTGCGGCTCTGCTAGAAATTTCATTCGATCGTACTACTTTTTTTTATTGCAACATATGTTTTTTGCTTGAGAACGTTCTGTTAAAAAAAAAAATGAATGAATGGTAGTTTCGCATGAATGAATATTGTGTCTCGTACACGGTTGCTACATTGTAAAATATACCTATCATTATTACTACATCATTGATACGTCCATTATATAAGTGTGTACACTTTTTATACATTTCATTTCATTCATAGTTTATGATTGAACTCGTACATATACCACTTCCATTGCGAAATTCAAATGATAGGTTCATTTTTAAGTGTTTCTTTCCTACACACTTAACTATCGTGTTGGTACCCCAATTAAGTGAGCTCATGTGAATGCGGTCAGTTGTTTCGCGTTAGTGTGTCACGTGACCATCGATCAAACGAGCACTCGATCGTACTTGTCACATGCAATCACCTTTATCGAGCACTCTTCGAATGAAAGAAGAATTTCACGTGTGCCCATATTTTGACATATTTGAACAATAAATCGAAACCAACAAACTGCAGACAACAATTAAAAGCCATTCTGTTCGCGTGAGAACGCTGCAAATCGCGTAATGTCAGTCACTTGATCATGTATAGGTAACATGACATGACACGTGCCATAGTTCCGAGATGATATGGAGTGGCGCTTGAACAATTGAGCTTTACTCGTCCCATAAGCCTTATAATTCGCACTACATATATGTATACCGACCGGTGAAATGACCATAAAGTATAAAATCGTTGTGTGGCAGAAAAAGATCGTGGGAAAGATAAAACTGTCAAAAGTTTCCAAAAAGACAACTGTGCAATTTACTACCACTCTAACTGTCCCCATTTTCACGAACACAAATACGATACAGTACGTATTCTTATAACTGTTTTCACTATTGCGTAATATCGTAATAAGGACGTGGTGCAATCACTTGTTAGAACCATCGTACGGTTCGTGCACGAAAATAGGAGTTTTGTGATACTTTAATGCCTTTTTCTCGGTATCGCGATTAGCCAACCGTTCAAATACCAAATTTCATGCACGCTTGGTTAAAAATAAATATCGTAATTACCCAATAATTATGTGCGTGCGTGTATAATCCTACCGATAATGGTTTTTAATCAGTACTGCGACGAAATTTACGTATAAATATACTGCAAAATGGTAAATATTCTTTTGAAAATATTTAATAATTATCAGTGACTACTAGGATATCTCAGTTTCATCTGTCAGATTGGATTAGACATGCATTTTCACAAGGCCGTAAGTGGTTGCATAATACCAGTCAGGAGAATAACCCAATTGCGTATGAGAAAAAAAAAGTATCGGGCCAGGTCAACGTGACACAATACTAACCGCGTCCCAGAACGTGAGATACTTGAATTTCCCGCCGTAGGCGCCGTGCGTTTTCAGCACGTTCGAAGGAATGTTGACGTGGGTATAATCATAATACACCGAGAACGCGAACTGCACGCAAGAGATCACGTGGAATCCGATGAGTAGGCCGTCCCGCATCTCATAGATGTTTCACACGCAGTTTTTTGTATTCTGAAAATGATTCGACAGGTTTCCATGATGATCGTGTTCTGTCGATCATACAGAAACGATTTGAAGAAAGAACACATTTATTTCTACTATGTGTTTGCCCTTTGAATATAAACTTTCTGCGGGAAATTGCTAAAGAATATTTAATTTAAAAAATATAAATTTATGGATCCCTTGTTTACACGATGACAGAACCATAAATCTGCATACGTGTTACATCTATCGTGCATTATGGAATATTTATATTTCATTTATGAAACTATTATACAATTTATGCAACAGTATGTATATTTTTTCTTAATCACATTAAGATTTCAACGGAACAGCATAGTTCAAAAAATTTTTTTTTTAATGTATACATACATATATTCTTTTTTCATATGGGAAGTTGTAACAAAAAAATTTAAGAAGTACAGAGAATGACTCTCATATCGTGTTTACAGGTTGCGTAAGAAAGTTTACTCTCGAATTACGTAAATTGCATGTAAGAAAGTTGTATTACAGGAGTGTGCAATACTCTACTGAATTATTTACTTTGCGGCTCTGCTAGAAATTTCATTCGATCGTACTACTTTTTTTTATTGCAACATATGTTTTTTGCTTGAGAACGTTCTGTTAAAATTAATAAAAAAAACAAGTATAAAAATGACACTTAAATATATAAAAAAATTTTTTATATTTGTAATCTTGAAAAACAGGGTGCTATAAACAATCAGTTTATTATAGTCACTATTAGAGATCGACATTTACTTTGTGATTCTAAGCTGGTATGCCTGCATAGTTTCACATATTAAAGAGTAAGCGATGCACGAGTCATCCGTGATAAATCCGTGAATAAACATAGATATCATAGTTATCGCACGAAAACAAATTGAAGATTTGTCTTACGTCAAAAAACAAATATCGCCATGTAAACAGCTAAAAAATTGATTTAAAATTTAATTATTAATTAATTTATTTATTTTTTAATCAATTTTTAATAACAATAGTTTTTATTTAACGTAAAGATTAAATATAAAATTTGAAAAATGTAAATTTTATACGAGAATGATATCAGCAGTACTTCCGGTTTATTAATTATGAAATCTACAGTACCAAGTGCAAAGGGTAACGATATTTATCGATAAAATTAACTTTTCACATTGCGCGATAACTTTAAGCTCTATATAACATCTTGATGTTTAGTTTCATATTTTTGCAATATTGATAAGCATAATCTTCATATAAATAATACTCAAACGATTAACTTGTTTACAATAATCTGTGAAATACGAGACTGATGTTATTAAAAGATACTAGGATACTTCAGTGCCCTCGTTCTATTATTGTCGCTTTCAATGTAACATCATAAATCACATTTACATTACGTTTATCATTACACTTATTTTAACTTAAACAATTATATTTTTAATAACATTGATTTTGTTGTTTCAAGAGAAAGGGGGATTCATTTTAACCACTCATTTCAATTGCCATACAGAGTCAACGGAATTCAATGCTTAGCACACGTGTACGCCGTAATGGCACATCACTACGATCAAATGCCGTAATCTTACACAGTCCCAGTTGATCTTCCGTTTATGTAGCACCGATGATCCAACTACTTTAACCGTGTCTATTAACGTTATAACGCTTATCACGAGTACTTTATTTTTATCAGACTTTTCTAATATATGCACGGTCCC